ATCCAAATCAAATGGGATCATGACTTATCTCACAATAAATAGTTCATACAAATTAATTAGATAATTAAGATGATAACAGCCAAATGTGTGAAGGGTATGATTAGACAGTTCACATAAGAGGGAATAAATATGGAAAGGTTTTTTCCACCTTATTTGTAACCAAATAAATGCAAATTAAAATGAGGTACTATTTTTCCTCATTACTCATTAAAATGAAATATATACATATATATCTCACTCAGGGATATCTCTAGCGAGATTTTTTTGAACCCAATGCCTTCATCTGATGTCATTGATGTTGTAAAGGACCTCAGAGTAAACCTCTGTGTCACACAGGGAAAGTTCTCACAGCTTTGGCCTACACAAGGGATTTATATACTGAAAGCAAGAAAGAGAAAATAAATCATAAATTCAGTTATTTATTATTTAGTTCTATAACAACAAAAATGCATTAGGAAACAACCTAAATGTCCAAATTTAAGGATTTAGGGAATTAAGCAACATGGAAAATTGTGTATTTATTTGGTATTGAAAAAAACAGGTTATAAAACTGTGTACACTCTAGTTACAAATATGAAACTGGTGTCAAAAAATACATATGAAAGTTTGCATTATCTTTTTATTTTTTAAAGATTTTATTTATTTGAAAGACAGAATTACAGAGAGAGGTCTTCCATCCGCTGGTTCACTCCTCAGATGGCCACAACGGCCACAGCTGTGCTGATCCAAAGCCAGGAGCGAGGAGCTTCCTCCAGGTCTTGCACGTGGGTACAGGGGCCCAAGGACTTGGGCCATCTTCTACTGCTTTCCCAGACCACAGCAGAGAGCCGGATTGGAAGTGGAGCAGCCAAGACTCGAACTGGCACCCATATGGGATGCCGGTGCTTCAGGCCAGGCCTTTAACCCGCTGCGCCACAGCGCCAACCCCTGCATTATCTCTTAGTTCCATTTCTCCACAACACATTGTTTTTAGATTGGCAGAGAGAGAGGGAGAGTGCTCCCATGCGCTGATTCACCTGCAAAATGCCCACAGTGGCTGGGGCCAGGCCAGGGTCAAGACCTGGGCACACAATCCAGGTCTCCCAGTAGGCTGGCGGGGACCCAGTCCCCTGAACTGTCACAGTGCCCACCATGGCCTGCACTAGCAGGAAGCTAGGCAGGAGCTGGAGCCAGTTACTGAGCCCAGGCTCTCTGCTGGGGACAGGGGATCCTGACACCTAGGCTAAGTGCATACCTCATTCCACAAACTCCTGTAAGCCACTCATACGTGGAGAAGCTCTGAATTGCAATGTGAAGGATCTAAGAACAATGGGCTTATACATTTATTTTATACAATTATTTACTTTTGAAAATTTCCTTCACTGGCTGGAAGAAATTCACCAAACATCGAAGCATGGTTGTGTTGGAGTGACTTTTCTTCTATAATGTGATTTAATGGCTTTTATGATGAACAGAAAGAAGCAAATGTGCAGGTTCCTGTCCCAGCTGCTCCACTTCTAGTCCAGCTCCCAGCTAATGGCCTGGGAAAATCAGCAGACGGTGTCCCATGTACGGGGCTGCTCCATCCACGTGGGAGACCGAGAGACGCTTTGGCTCCTGACTGCCCAGCCCAGGGCTGGCTGTTGTGGCCATCTGAGGCGTGAACAAGCCGATGGAAGATCTCTCTCTCTCTCTCTCTCTCTCTCTCTCTCTGTTTCTCCCCTTTCTCTGCCACTCTTTCAAAATAAATATTTGTTTAAAAAAAAAAAAAAGCAAAAACCTGTTGCCTAAAGCATAAGGCTATTTGTACAGAAAAATTAAAACTGGAAAAAAGATTATAAGAGCTTAAATACAGCCAGGAAGCGATTTGGTTCAACGCGTTGGGGATTTATCATTGAAGTATCTCCTCTGTTCTCGGGTTTGTGCCAATCACTGTGATGGACAGAGACGCTCCACTGAGCCTGAGGAGATGATGAGCCCGCAGAGGCAAGACAGACCCAATAGTCGGCCAGGTGCCTGTTAGGGAGAGGGTGGGAGCCGGCCCCCGGGTGGGGTGGAGGCAGGGGGAGATTTGCTCTGCCTTGTTCACACCCCGCAGATGGGCCAGGGTTCTCAGGGTGACCGACCCCGACCACCATTCACAGCCTGCGGGGACACCCCCGAGGGGCAGGAGAGAGCGGTCTCCTGGAGTCGGCCTTGGGCATTGAGACCAGGCCCAGGGGCCCTGGCTTCGGCCTTTGCTGCTTCCTCCCACAGAGGCCAAGTTCAGGAAGGGCCGCCACACCCAGGCCGGCACAGAAAAACTCCCCAGAAGGCTCGAGGCCACAGACTTCCCTTGGGTATGTGACCACGGGCCCAGGAAGCCAGAATCTTTGTGTTTTCAAACAAACAACCTGGTTCTACTTCCCCTCAGCCGCCTGCCTCTGTTCCTCTCTTGGCCTCGCCCCATCCCTCTGTCTCACCTGGCACCTCCGGCTCTCAGGATCCCTTAGGCTTTCCGAGCCCCAGACCTGGGGGTGCCAGAGGGGAAGTGATGCCCAGGTGGCCTGTCCCTCACTGCATGGGCTCGCCTCCGCCAAGCACTGGCCCTGCTGGGCTTCCAGCAGGATGAGGGCCCCACGCACCAGGGGAGTGGTCTTCAGGAGAGACCCCCGTCTGGAGGCTGCAATACCCACAGACAGGCCCGGAAGTGGCGGCCTCTCTGGCCTGTATTTCCCCATTCTGCTCATGGCCTGGACACCCCCCAGCTCCCCAGGACGCTCCCTGCTGGGGGCCTCCAAGGCCCGAGGGACCTCGAGCTGTGCTGACCATTCGTCCCTGGCAGCCCAGACCGGTCCTGGCTTATGACCCAGCTTCACTACGGCAGTGCCTCTTCCACCCTCGGGACGTGCTGGTTTGGGTCACAAGTTGTTTCATCACCTGCCCGAATCAACCTCAAACAGAATCCACGCACACACAGGCCCACCCCAGCCTTGATGAGGGGGGCGGCGTCCAGACTGGCCCTAAACAGACAAACCCCAGGCCCATCTCTCACGCCTTTCTGCTGGCACCTGTGATCCGACCACGACCCCTTGGGTAGATCCTCTCCTTTCCATCCTCACTGCCCATAACCGACTACTGACACGGATAATCACAACAGCCCCCTGATTGAGCCTCTCCCTCTCAAAGCTGCAGGTCTGATCTGTTCAGTTTCCAGTGGCTCCCCACTACCTACGGAGGGAAACCAGATCCCTCCACGACCCAGCCCCAGCGGGCTTCCCTGCCTCACGTGCTGCCACCTCCTGTGAGCCGGGGCTCCAGGCACTGCTTGTCCCAGGACGCGTCTTCCCACTCGTCTTGGCGTGCTTGTAACTTTCCTCCCGTCTCCTACTCCCACCTCTTCCCCTCTTTTCCACAGCTCGTGTTTGATCCTGAACTCCTTCCTGGAACGCATGTCAAGTGTCACTCCCTGGGAAACCATTTCTGATTCACTCTGGGTAAGAAGGAATCACTCCCTTCTCGAAGCACTAAGTTTTGTTTTTAACGTTTCCTGTGGTTGGATCCCTGGTACGCTGGCCAATGCACTTACTGTGTGTGAACCTCTGAGCTCAAGAACGGCATCTTGGGCCGGCACGGAGGCCCAGCGGGTTAAGCGGCAGCCTGTGATGCTGGCACCCCATGGAAGCACTGGTTCAAATCCCAACTTTCCGTTTCTGAACTCTGCTTCCAATCCAGCTCCCTGCTAATGCACTGGGAAAGCAGAGGAAGATGGTACCAGTTCTTGGGCCCCTGCACCCACATAGACCAGGATGTAGTTCCTGGCTCCTGGCTTTGGCCTGGCCAAGTGCTGGCCCTTGTGGCCATTTGGAGAGTAACCAGCAGATGGAAGATTTCTCTCTGTGTGTCTCTGCCTTTCAATTAAATAAATAACCTTAAAAAAAAGAATACCATCTGTAGCAATGCCTGCAACAGTGCCTGCTACCCAGTAGGGACCGAGTCAAATAACACTGCTAACCTGGCTACAGTTTTCAAGAGCAGGCCGGGTCACTCCCAGTGACAAGGGGGCAGATTCTGGGCACATGCACCCCAACATTAATACCAACACACATCTCACAGGAGGGACGGCTGGCGGGCCTGCACGTACTCCTCCGGGAGGAAGCCCTAACTTCCCTCCCCGGCCTCTCCCCGGGCCCCAGCCCCTCGAGGAGACTTCCCTCTCCCTCTCCAAGAATCCTTCCATACCCTGGCTCCGGGGGCATCCCGTGCCCTCCAAGCTCTGGGACAGCTCAGCGGGTGTTTCCCTGGGTGCCATCTCCTGTACTGTGTACTGAGCTTACCTCGGTGTCCTGTGTGGAGCTGAGCAGGGAGGGTTTGCAGACCCGGGGCGGGAAGATGAGGGAGGGCCGGATTCGGTCCCTGGTGCTGCAGCTGGATAGCCTGAAGCCATCCCTCTGGCCTAAAACCCTTGCATGGGGCTCCCCAGGGACATGAGCTGGGCACAAGCCACCCCCATGCTGAAGGCTGAATACAGCCGCATCTCGGGATGCCACCCTCGCTGGCCGGAGCCCAGCTCTGGCCGCCACAGGCAGGCCTCCCCCCACCCCCAATCCCCTTGCATACCAAATGTGCAGACTCTCTTTCCCACGGGACAGGGGGGTGGGAGGGAGGGTGAGGCGCCACCACCGGGTCTGTCTCCTCACCTCTAAAACTGAGGAGTCCTCAGGGGTTACTGAGGTCAGCTGGGGGCTCCCGGGCTCCTATTTAGTCCCTAAACCTGACAGCAGACCCTGATTTCATGAACAGAGCTCCGAGCAGGGGACGCGGTGGGCCCCCACTCCCACTGACAGCCAGGCTGAGAAGGGGCAGCGTCCCCACAGCACCCATTCCCACGCAGAAGGCAGCGGTGAAGCCCCCCAGCCGGTCCCTGCCCTTCCCCCTCAGGTCGGCCCCAAATCGAGGCCCCCATCTCTACCACAGGAGCCCGCCCCTCCCGCCCCACCCTTTCGCCCGGGCCGAGCCGGCAGGAAGGGAGGTGCTGGGCACCGGCCCGGGAGACAGCGCCAAGCCCCGCTGCTGCTCGGCCGCCGCCGCCCTCCGTCGGTCCGGCTGCCCCGCACACACCCGCGGCCGGCCATGCAGCCCACCGAGCCCTGGAGCCCCGGGTGGGCGCCGGTGTCCTGGGACTACTCGGGCTCGGGCGCGCTGGCCGAGCTGGAGCTGTGCCCCTCCAGGGACCTGCCCTACGGCTACGCCTACATCCCTGCGCTCTACCTGGCGGCCTTCGCCGTGGGCCTGCTGGGCAACGGCTTCGTGGTGTGCCTGCTGGCCGGGCGGCGCGGCCCGCGGCGGCTCGTGGACACCTTCGTGCTGCACCTGGCGGCCGCCGACCTGGGCCTGGTGCTCACGCTGCCGCTGTGGGCCGCGGCGGCGGCGCGCGGGGGCCGCTGGCCCTTCGGCGAGGGCCTCTGCAAGCTGAGCTGCTTCGCGCTGGCCGCGTCGCGCTGCGCGGGCGCGCTGCTGCTGGCCGGCCTGAGCGTCGACCGCTACCTGGCCGTGGTCAGGCTGCTGGACGCGCGGCCGCTGCGCACTCGGCGCTGCGCGCTGGCCGCTTGCTGCGGCGTGTGGGCGGCGGCGCTGCTGGCCGGCCTGCCGGCGCTCGTCTACCGCGGGCTGCAGCCGCTGCCCGGCGGCGGGGGCAGCCAGTGCGGGGAGGAGCCCTCGGACGCCTTCCAGGGCCTCGGCCTGCTGCTCCTGCTGCTCACCTTCGTGCTGCCGCTGGCCGTCTCCGTCTTCTGCTACTGCAGCATCTCGCGCCGCCTGCGCAGGCCGCCGCACGTGGGCCGCGCCCGCAGCAACTCGCTGCGCATCATCTTCGCCGTGGAGAGCACCTTCGTGGGCTCCTGGCTGCCTTTCGGCGCCCTGCGGGCCGTCTTCCACCTGGCGCGCCTGGGGGCACTCCCGCTGCCCTGCCCTCTGCTGCTGGCGCTTCGATGGGGCCTCGCCGTCGCCACCTGCCTGGTCTTCGTCAACAGCTGCGCCAACCCGGTCATCTACCTCCTGCTGGACCGCTCCTTCCGCGCCCGGGCCCGGCACGGGCTGTGCCAGCGCGCGGGCCTCGGGGGGCGCAGGGTCAGCTCGGCCTCCTCGCTCTCCAGAGACGACAGCCCGGTGTTCTGGGGCCGGCCGCACGGCGCCAGCACCCTCTCGTGCGTCCTGTAGCTGCCTCCCCGGGCCGGTGGAGGTGCGTGCAGCCGGGCGCCGCGGGGAGGTTGGTGGGGGCGGGCGCCGGCGCCCCGGGAGGATCCGTTGTGTGGCGGCTCCAGCCGGGCCCGCCTGCGCTGCTCAGCTCCCCGGGGTCGCCTTCTCCAGACCCGCAAGCTACTTGAGTTTCCTCTGGCAGCCTGAGGCCCTTGGAGATGGAACAGACAGCAGCCTGGACGCCGACGGGTTCGCGGAGCAGAGAAGGGAAGTGGTTTGGAGCGCGCAGCACGAGGTCCCACCCAGACCCGCGGAGTCCCCCTCTTGGCTGTGCTGCAAGTCAGACCCTCTGGCGTCTCTCTGATACACAGAACCTGGCAACCAAGCGATCAAGATGACTGTGCGCTCACCTTGCAGCTGCGCCGGCTTCGCCATGAGTCACCATCAACTGTGATTTTCATTTTCTCAGCTCCCCAAAGTCTCGGGACCTGGCCCTGGTGTGAAATGCCCACGTGGCCCCCTGGACCTTGCCCCGAACTGAGCCATCAGCCTGCCCAAGATGGTGACTGCCTCCTCTCCCGAAGCCACAGGACTCTCCCTGGACGCGGTCCTGGCCCTTCCCTCTGGACAGGGGGGCTCCGAGCCTGTGGCCATGCATTGGCTTCCTGCATCCTGGCCCGAGCACCCCAGAATCTCCCTTGTGGCTGTGCCCCCTCAATAAACACTTCTGCTGACCCCAGCCTGGCAGCGCCTCTTGGCTTGAGCAGTGGGCGCGGAAAGAGTGTCAGGAGGCGGGGGTGGCGCCAGGGTCCGGTGAACCTCAACCCCAGAGTTCAGGCTGAGCCGGGAGGGTGGGTGGTGGTGGGGTGGGGGGTTGGGGTGGGTGGTGGCGATGAGGGCCTAAGGGCTTTTTTCACATTCTGAAGGTTACAGAAGGAAAGGATGTGAGGGACCCGCCAGGCAAGCGTCCCTTCAGAGATGTGTCATTTGGGTTTCAAATGTGCAGGGGCGCTGCGCCTTTTTCCCGCCTGCTGGGAGACTGCCCAGCCCCACTGCTGGGGCTTCTGTGATTTCTCTGCTGAGAAGGGTTTGGAAACACCGATCTAAGAGGCGTGCAGGGCCCGCACGAGAGACCAGGAGGAGGCACCTGGCTTTGGATCGGCGCAGCACCGGCCGTAGCGGCCATTTGGGGGGTGAACCAGCGGAAGGAAGACCTTTCTCTCTGCCTCTCTCTCTCTCTATGTCTCTCTCTGTCTCTGTCTCTCTCTGTCTCTCTAACTCTGCCTGTCAAAAAAAAAAAAGAGTGCAGGGAAAGGGACTCGGTCCTTCTGCCTTCCTGAGGGCGGTGGTGCAGCCAGACCCCCCCGCCACACACACACACGCACACACACACACATACATACACATACACACACACATATATATATACACACACATACACACATACACATACTCACACACACACACACATACACATACACACACACGCACACACACATACATACATACACATACACACACACACATATACACACAAATACACATACACACATACACACACACACTTACACACATACACACACATACATACACATACACACATATATACACACATACACACACATACACACGCACACACACTCACACACATATACACACTCACACACACATACATACACATACACACATATATATACACACATACACACATATACACGCATACACACGCACACACATACACACACATATACACACATACACACACACACACTCACACATACACACACACGCACACACACGCACAGGGCCCCACAGGAAGCAGCGGGCTGGGGGCCGTGCCCGCAGGTCGGCACTCAGGTGTTAGGTTGGTTCTGATGCTCAGGCTGCTTGACCCCCTCTCTGCTACCCTGCCTTCTCTTCCACGCGGGGGCTGTTGGGCAGAGCAGCCTGCACACCATCGCCACCTCGGCCCTGCCATCAGCTCCAGCCAGGCCGTCAGAGCGCGCACTCCCGCACACCCAAGAGGCCAGCCTTGCCACCTGCAGGGCATCCGTGCAGGCTGGCGTATTTCAGGGTCTCTCTAAGGCAAGAAGTTCCTCCTCTTCTTCTCCTCGTCCGCCTCCACCTTTCTTCTTCATTTGAAAGGCAGAGCGACAGAGAGAGGGAGAGACAAAAAAGAAAGCAACCTTGCACCTGCTGGGTCTCTCCCCAAATGGCCACAACAGCCAGGGCTGGGCCAGGCGAAGCCAGGAGCCTGGAGCTCCTCCTGAGTCTCCCACATGGGTAGCAGGAGCCCAAACACTTGGGCCGTCTTCTACTGCCTTCCCAGGGGCACCAGCAGAGAGCTGGATCGGAAGTGGAGCTGCCCAGATGTGAACGGCTGCTCTGATAGAGAACGCCAGCACTAAGAAATTACTGGGGTTGAGGCCTCCAGTTTCCAGGAAGGGGAGGCTGACCCTCATCCTGGCCAGGGGGAGACACCTCTTTCTCTAGGTGCCAGAAACTGAGCCCCCCCCCCCCACAACTGGCTTGCTTCTCCCATCCGCTGGGTAATGCGGCTCTCTGAAGGCAGACAGGAAGAAGGCTCTCCACGCCCCGTGGATTTCCATCCAACCTGCCGCAGCGGTACTAACACTCAGCACTTCTCTGCACCACGTGAACAGAGTGCCCTCCCGCGTGCCGGCCTCTGTTGGCCCCGTGTCCCTCGGAAAGGCCTCTTAAGTTCAGACAGGAATTAAAGGGGGTCGGTGAGCTCCCATTTCCAACCCGGGGAAGACGAGGCAGGCGCAGCTGCAGCGAGGACCTTGTTAAATGAGCTCTCCCGCCAAGGTGGCTGGTGGGAGTGGACACAGTGGATTCCTGTAGAAAGTGATGTGTCGGGGCTTGCGCTGCGATGTAGTGGGGAAAGCCACCACCTACAGTGCCGGCATCCCATATGGGCACCAGTTCAAGTCCTGGCTGCTCCACTTCTGATCCAGCTCTCTGCTATGGCCTGGGAAAGCAGTAGAAAATGGCCCAAGTGCTTGGGCCCCTGCACCTACGTGGGAGACCTGGAAGAAGCTCCTGGCTCCTGGCTTCAGATCGGCGCAGCTCCGGCCATTGCAGCCAATTGGGGAGTGAACCAGTGGATGGAAGACTCTCTCTCTCTCTCTCTCTCTCTCTCTCTCTCTGTGTAACTCTTTCAAATAAATAAATAAATAAAATCTTAAAAAAAAGAAATCTTTGGCTATGACTAAGAACTATTAACCGTTAAAAAAAAGTAGTGTGTCACTGAAGAGCTTTTAACATCTTCGCATTCCGTTCCTCCAAAATGTTCACTCTGAGTTCACTTCGGCCACTGTCTCCCAATGTGCTAGTATGAAATAAGACAGGCTGGGGGCACTGCGCTTCTGGGAGATGACCCAGCCTGAGCGGTGGTGTCGGTGTGCGAAGACCACCCCGCACATGTGAAGACACTGCTGAAAGACTGGAGGAAGGTGGTGATGATCGGTTAGAAGGAAAACAGAAAATTGCGTACGTGAGACGCACGCACGCATCTCAAGACTGTGAGCACTGGGTTCACGGAAGGAAAGCGTGGCCTGTGTCACAGCCCCTTTGATAAAATCAGCTTTCACTCTGCTTTCACCTTGCTCAGGTTTTTTTTTTTTTTTTTTTTTTTTTTTTTTTTTTTTTGACAGGCAGAGTGGACAGTGAGAGAGAGAGAGACAGAGAGAAAGGTCTTCCTTTGCTGTTGGTTCACCCTCCAATAGCCGCCGCGGCTGGTGCACTGCAACCGGCGCACTGCGCTGATCCGAAGGCAGGAGCCAGGTACTTATCCTGGTCTCCCATGGGGTGCAGGGCCCAAGCACTTGGGCCACCCTCCACTGCACTCCCGGGCCACAGCAGAGAGCTGGCCTGGAAGAGGGGCAACCGGGACAGAATCCGGCGCCCCGACCGGGACTAGAACCCGGTGTGCCAGCGCCGCAAGGCGGAGGATTAGCCTAGTGAGCCGCGGCGCCGGCCTTTTTTTTTTTTTTTTTTTTTTCTTGCTCAGGTTTTAAACACCAGCGCCTTTTCCCTTGCTGCAGACTCACGGGATCCACGTGCTTGTGTCTTTGCCGGTTCTGTCTCCTGCATCGGCGTTGCAGCCTTGCATGGGCAGGGAGTTTCTCTAAGCTGAACAACGAAAAGGCAGAAGGAGATGCGGCAACTGTCTGCAATGATTGTGCCAGAGGCTCATAGGTCCTTTTCTTCCATTTCTTTCCCTTTTCTAGCTGGTTTTAAGGGCAGGTGATGAGCACAGAAGCTAACCTCAGACCTGGGTCCTGGCTCCCGGCTCCCACCCAGTCGCGAGCTGCCTGTCCTTGGGCACCTGCCCCAGCCTCCTTGAGCTGCGCTGTCGCTAGCTGCAGAAGGGGCTGTGGTGCTACCTGCTGGGGCTGCCTCAAAGACCAAAGGAAATCTGAGTGATGGGGCTTTAGACAGACATCACACAGGGTCCACCCTCAGGGCGGGCTTGCTCCAGGCTCAGCTCCCCTCCCCCTCCTGAGTGGAGCTGCTGTTAGAAGGTTGGCACCTGGGAGACGGCTGGGCATATAGGCCGTGTGTGGCTCTGATTTGCTTCCTGTGACTAATTCTGGACTTTCTCCTCACCTCCCTCGACCCCATGACTCCTTCCTGGGGCACAGCGTGGGAAGCCGGGCCCTGAGTTGCTGAGTGATCTGGAGAGTTCAGGAGGGTGGCAGAGCTGGAGGAGGGCGCTCGGGGACGCAGCCCCCGTGGCACTCTGGGGACACAGTGAGGACCCTGGGCTCTTGTGAGGATGCCTTGCTTGTGGGGTCTAAGACCCTGCCTACCTTGATGAGTGGCCCCCTCCCCACCCAGCCCCTGCCCCAGTCAAATGGGGCAAGATCTGAAAAGCCCAGGAAATGTGTGGCAGACGAGAGGGCGGGAGGAAGCAGAGATGTGAAATCACTGGTCCTCTTCCTCCGCTTCCGAATCAGACTATTTCCGGAGGGCACAATTGCGTCTTCGCAGATGGCGGGGCGACCGGAGAGGCGTAGGTACGTCCTGAGCTTCCAGCTCTACAGCCAGAGGCTCATTTTGTCCATTCGCAGAACGAGGACATTCCAAGAACAAGGGGAAGTCGGTTGTGTGTGTGCAGCACATCCCCGATTTCTAGGAAGCACATTGTGGGAGGGAGCCTTTGGCCTAAAGGTTCAGGTGCACCCCATATCGGGGTGACTGGGCGCTGGCTCCTTGTCCAGCTCCAGCCGCCGACTCCAGCTTCCTCTCACTGCACCCCCCGGCGGGCAGCGGGGATGGCTCAGGTAAGCGGGCTCCTGCCACCCACGTGGGAGACCTGACTTCTATTCCCAGTTCCTAGCTTTGGCCTGGGCCCAGTCCTGGCTATTGTGAGCATTTGGGGAGTGACAGAGCATGGGAAGCACTGTCCGTCTCTCTACCTAACCTCTCAAACACACAAAGAAAAATAAATTTTTTTTGACAGGCAGAGTGGACAGTGAGAGAGAGAGAGAGAGAGAGAGAAGGACAAAGGTCTTCCTTTTGCCGTTGGTTCACCCTCCAATGGCCGCCGCGGCTGGCACGCTGCGGCGGGCGCACCGCTCTGATCCAAAGGCAGGAGCCAGGTGCTTCTCCTGGTCTCCCATGGGGTGCAGGGCCCAAGCACTTGGGCCATCCTCCACTGCACTCCCGGGCCACAGCAGAGAGCTGGCCTGGAAGAGGGGCAACCGGGACAGAATCCGGCGCCCCGACCGGGACTAGAACCCGGTGGGCCGGTACCGCTAGGCGGAGGATTAGCCTACTGAGCCGCGGCGCCGGCAAAAATAAAATGATTTTAAAAGCACGT